TAAAATCAAAGAAGCAAACTTTAAATGTATCAACAAATTTGACCTCACACCCATAAAGATGCATAACATTTCCAAAGAAAACTCTCCAAAATGTCCGAGATGTAAAATAAAAGAAGGAACATTTATGCATCTGTTTTGGGATTGTGATCTCTTGAAACATCTCTGGGATTCGATTCATGCTCTCACAAAAGCCGTTTTAGACATCGAAATTAGCCTAAATCCATGTTTTTTCCTGTTAAATGACATGCCAAACTTTAAACTGAACCCAAAACATTACAGAATACTAATCACAATAACATATTTTGCCAAGAAATGTATACTTTTATTCTGGAAGAATGAACGTCCCCCAACATTTAAACTTTTCATTGATCAGATAACACATTTTTTACCTCTGGAGAAAATGACATTGGAAAAATATAATCGTGGACATATTTTTCAAGCTCTGTGGTTGCCATTGTTTTCTTATTTGGAAAACATATCCGAGATATGACCAGTGATGGAATGGTGCATTCTGTGGCTATTTGTCCTGACGGCCGGAAATACGTGCTATGGTGTTGTCATTGTCTACATTGTCACTGTATTGTATAATTATTTGTTTGTTTTACTTGTTTGGTTCTATTTTTATTTATTTTTTCCTTTTCCTTTTTATGTTTATTTTCATGGCTCTGTTGTTTAAGTTATATTGATAAGCATTTTTTGGTTTTGCCTGTGCGGGTATGTGTGGGTGAAGGGAGGGAGGGGGGAGTGTAGTGAGTGTACTGTGATATTACAATATAAATGAAATGACATCAATTATTGTACACTATAATGAAATAAAAAGACTTGTAAAAAAAAAAAAAGAAAAAAAAAAGAAAAAAGAAACTAGAGGAAGATAAGGAGGACTTTTACAAAAAAGTAATAGAGATTGTTGTCCAGAAGGATAGCATGGACTTCATCTTCAAGTCAAGGTAAGACCACAATTGTAAAGAAAATGGGATCTTACTAAGAGAGAACAATCCAATATTTAGATTTTGGGTATCCTTTTGTTGAAGGGTCTGTTTAAAATTAATCGAAACATCAGACTAAAAAAGCTTTTGAAAATAACAGAATATTTCGATTAAGGTCAAAATATAATATTTGTAAATCTGACTCTGAAAGAGTCAGTGCCTCACCAGCCATGAACCTCACCGCACGTCACTGCTGGGTAGCGTTACCTTACCAGTGGACCAAAGCTCCACAGGGCACCAACCTTTAAAGACTATGATCAGACTGGACTGAGGACTGGTCATGAGACTTACCTGCACAAGATTCAAGCCTTGGATGCAGTTCTTCACTTCCTTTATAAGTTTCACTTTGTCAGCTGCCTTTAATTCTGTCAGTTTTACTATGAAGTGGGTCTGCTCTTTCTTGACTGGTACGTCGTCCTCTTCTGCGGCCTAGTTTCACACAAAGAAAAAAAAATTAGCAAATGTATTAGTTCTCTTACATGACAACAAATCTGACAAAGGACCTACATGTTTTATCATAACAAGTCTGAAGTGTTCATTCAAAGTAGTAGTTTATGATTGTGTTGTAGCAGACAAAGTTATACTGTTAGGTGTTTCAATTTCCTCTACTCTCTGTACTTACTGGCGCAGATATAGCTGAGGCATGCATCGCCCCCATCGGCATCATCCCAACATCCTGAATGTTCAGAGTTTTCTGCAACCAACACAAACAGATCATTACCCAACATGTCACCACAGATATATCACAAACAATATCTTACAGGGGGTAAGATGGGTTAGATTCAGTGACTTATTCCACTAACCTTGAGGAGCTCATTAAGGTCCGACACCTCTAATAAAGTGAGATTGGCTATGTCGTTGACCAGCTGTTGGATTTTGGAAGGGTACTGTTTGGGTGCTCCGTCTAGTGGAGGGGAGGCGATGGTTTCTGAATGTGTGGCAGGACTGGTCTTCAGGAGTCTGAGAGCACACCAGGCTGGTGTTTGCCGCTGAAGCTGTGACCTGGAAAAATACAATATATTGAAAATAATTATTCAGAGTTTCAGATGAAGGACAGAGTCAACTGAGAGCATCTGCAGCAAAACATCTGGCATCAGCACACCAAATGTTTGGGATGTATCTCACATGCCAGACATGCACTCCAACATGTATTTAATGGATGCATTTGAATTACCAATGTACCACTGACCAGTTAATGCCAATCTTGCTATTTATATCTGCACATTATGTATGTTTGTGACTCCTTTAAAAAGTGTGTAGTTTAGAGAAACCTTATACAAGACCTGTTTAAATGATTACTCTTTATAAAACTGATTTGAATACTTTTAAGAGGTTGGTGAGGTCAAATAATGCAGTTATTTAAAAGACAAAAGTATTAATGAAACCAAATGTGTATTAGCTTATCGACTGTTGGTAAGACAAATAATTAAATTAGCACCTATTCTGATTACTAGCTACTGACCATCTATTTCTTCTTTTTTAATTTCAGGCAAAAATAACCAACATTCCTAAGCTTCTGAGTTGTAAGAAGTTGCCTTTTTCCCGTGTCTTTCGGAGGTGGATGAAATATTTAGATAATTTACTTGGGTTAAAATACCAACACCACACTGTAATAAATACTGTTACAAGAAAAAGTCCTGCATTGATATTCATACTAGAAGGTGAAGTACAACAGTGTTAGCATGGAAATATACTTAAACCATCAAAAATAAAAGTACTAATTTGAATGCAGAATGGCCCCCTTTCTGAATAATGTAAATGTAATTACTGGAATATAAATTGTGATGCATTAATGTCTTCATCAATGGTGGAGCTTATTTTGTCTACTTGTTATGCTGATAGATAGTTCAATTTGAAAAACACCATACTGTACTAGATTATTTTACATTAATAATTTGGTTTTCAGATAGATGGTTCACTGAGATGCAGTGGGAAAAAAAGTCATAGAAAATAGAAGTACTCAAAGTACCTCAAATGTTATCTTAAGAACAGGACAGAGTAAATGCACTTGTAAGTGTTTGAGTTAAAGTCCTCAAAAGAGATATTAGAAGAAAGTCTGCCATTAAACCAGAATTACTTTGTTATGCTAACCTGCTAACCACCTTGTGACCACTCACATATACCATTTGACCCTTTATAGAGGGTGGGGGGGTTACACATACATTAAGATGGGAAGCAATGCTCTGAGATGAATGCTTTGTTGTACAGACATCATCTACTACTGATAGTTTTGTTGGCTGCACTTGCACACGGTTGATCGCTGATCATGTAACCTGTTATTCGTGTTTACTAAGGAGATGTAGCTTGCGGTTATTTGACCATCATAAACACGAATTACAAGGCACACGAGTGTGACCTTGGAGAAGTTAGCCGGAAGAAAATGTCAAACTGCTGCTACTTTTAGATTTTACAACCACACTTAAGACGAGGACAACGCTTCTTAATGCGACTAAATGCTTACTATTGTGTTAAAGCAGTTTAAGGCTGTAAGGTTTAAGTAACTGCTGCTGGCTAAAGCTAACGCTAGCTGACTTACTTAGCGCATTGCTACGGACTTCACAGCCATGCATCTTCAGCATTCAGACAAACTACAGTGACAACTGCATGTGTTACATCAAGAATAACCGGCAGCAGTCACCGGCTGTCTGCCCTTGAAGATGCAGGCAGTCAGACCCTGATGTACCGTTAACCGCTGCCGGTGATACGTGACAGACTGGCTGCTGCTCTGTAACGTTACGTACCGTTGAGTGGTCGCCACAGCCCGCAGCGCGGTCCGGAGGCAGTGTCTGGTGCAGTACATGCTTGCGGTAACTGAAGCCGTATATTCCGGTGTCCCTCAAAAATAAAACAAGTCTGTCACTTCGATGTCTCCTCTCAGTCCCTCTGCCTCAAAAGCACATGGCGTCCTTTCCGATCCTGACCTACCCGCAATGCATTGCGGGAGTCGTGACCTGGTAGAAAACCTACGGGAACCGAGGAGGGACAAAAGAAAACCATATATAAATAAATGTAATGCTGACATTGTACAGATTAAAGTAATGCTCTTTAAAGGTGTATACGTTTATTCAAAGTAAGTACTTTCATGAACATTACCTGCATTAATTACATACACGTATTTTCGGAAGAGGTGACTCTGAAATGATGCAGTTCCTGAGAACAAATTACTTGGCATTTTTTGTAGTAAGTAACATAATTCATTATTGGTTGAAAGCAATGTCATCTAATCACACATAATTTTGGATTACTTAAAAATCAAACATTGAAAATATTGCACCCTAGCCTTTACAACAAAAATGAAGTGAGCTAAAAAATTCAGTTTTTTTATCACTAACAAGCTCAAAACATTTAAAAACAAAATGCTAATAATGCTGCATATTCAGCATTTATTTAATTTATAGCATTGTTTTTATCATAAACGAAGTTTCATAATTTTGCCAAATGGAAATCAAAATAAATACTGGATTTATTAAATAAAGTCAGGGAAAGATTTTTGTTGTTTTTGCTCTCCTGTTAAGTTGGGTAAATTCAGTCTGGTTCTGTTCTTACCTTTGCATTCTTAGCATATTTTAAGATTTTGTATCTTGTCATGACCATGACCACAAATTTGCAGTGAAAACTCATGATTCAAACACATTCGGGTTCAATATGATAAAGCACATGACAATATGATACCATGCTTCATGACGTGTTCATGTTGACTGGTATTGCTCTTCAGACACAGACTTATAGTATTAATTGATTTCTCCCTGTGTTTTCTCTGTCCTACCTGTAGTGTAGTGCTGAACACCGGGGATGAGCTCATAGGGAATCCTCTTAACCAGGTAATCTCTGTACCCATCTGCTGTCACGTTCATAAACCACAAACAGCCTCCACAAATATGCCATTTCCCAGCTAGTCTCTGTCAACCAGCACAAGTTATGGTAAGAGGAATCCTCTGAGACAGAATATAATTGCATAGGCTGGAAATACAAGATGACAGGGTAACATGTCCTTCTGTTTTTCTCCAACAGACCATGCTGCTTTCCCCTCTGGCGGAGAGGAACTGGGAGGATCTGTGTTCAGTGCTTGAAGAGGTGCTGGATGACCAGTCCCACAGGCAGCTGTTTGCCTTAGAGCTGGGCTCTGGAACTGGGCAGCACGTCATACGCTTTGCCCCGAAGATGCCCTTTGTTACCTGGCAGCCATCAGACATCAATGAAGAGTCAAGGGACAGGTTTGTGCCTTATAGAAAAAAGTATTCTTATATTTTTGCTCGCAAAGTACACCTGTAGTTTGTGCCAGTAATATTTAGGATTAACAATGTTAAAGATAACTTGATTTGGCCAACTTTGAATGCTCAATGCCTTTTGTGAAACGTAAGTTTTTTGTGGCTGCGTCCAGTGTTAGTATAAGGTGCATTACTTTTAAACTTTTATTTTGAAATAATCCAGCATTTTCCATGTTAGAACATTTTTTTCATATATTAATTTATTATATTCCTGACCAAAAAAAAGATCTGAAATAGCAGCAAGAGATATATTAAAAGGTGATTTTACAAACAAAATGTAAGCTTAATTCTGCATACTCATTTACAGTATTAAGGCATATATTGCTGCAACCCATGCAAAGAATGTGCTGCAGCCTGTTCACCTGGATGCCAGCGAACCGTGTGAGAAATGGGCAGGCCTTTCTAACAAATCCTGTGATGTTGTTGTTGCCATCAACTTACTGCAATACAGCTCCTTCAAAACGGCACAGGTGCGTCTGATTACCTAAACAAAAAAATTATTAAAACACAGATCTCAAAATGATCAAAATGTGGCGTTCATTTTTCTGATTATTTTCCAAGGGTGTTTTCAATGGAGCAGGGAAGATCCTTCGACAAAACGGTCTTTTGATTACATACGGGGTAACCTTTAGTTATTACGTTTATTATGCACTCAGAATGGCTATATATGTCACCATGAAACTGTGAATTGAGACCTTTAACAATCCTAAACATGTTCTAGGTGTATGCTATTAATGGCATCATTACACCAAGTTGTAACGAACACCTGGATGCAGAGATTCGACAAAAGTGAGTGCCGTTTTTTCCCTCCAGTACAGCATGGCAACAATATGTCTAGAGTAAATACTTATTGAATGCTGTTACACAGGAATCCAGAGTGGGGTCTTCCAGATATCGACGTGTTGAGACAGTTGGCCTATGGGAACGAGATGCGTATGGAGCGGATTGTGAGTCACATTCTGTAGCTTGCGGTATCTATATTTTAATACAACTACTATGAATTACTTAAAACATGTATTTTTTCTAATTTTCAGATTGAGATGGAAGAATTCTACAAATGCCTCATCTTCAGAAAACTTGAGAAGAACCAAACTGCTTGAAGAATAAAAACAAAACGTTATTTTTCATCATGAGTCCATGTCATGCTATGGCCTTTACCCCTCTTATTGGAACATGTTTGAATATGACATGGAAAGTTACAAAGACGATAAAGCAAGTGGACAATAAGAACCAGATATTTATTAAATATAGTTTTAAAATTACCTTTAAAGTCAGACAGATCAGTATGATGGAATAAAGAAGTTCACAGATGGCAACTGAAGGGTTACAGAAATCACTGATTGGGTGCGTGATACATACATACATACATACATGCGGCACATCATTTTCCCTCAGCAAGCAATTCCACATTTGTTGAGAGCAGAGTACACTTTAGAAAAGAGTCCCCAATTGTACTTACTATGTATATTATGATCTGGGACATTTGCTCTTAGGATGGGTGCAGTTGTTATTATTAGGTTTGAAGCCCTATGGTTTTTTCAGTCTGGTCTTATCTTGTGACAGTGCGTTATCATCGGCAACACAAATCATTTTTAATAAACAGATGCAGAATTATATTAGAGTTGCTGTATAGCTTTTAGTAGCTTTTTTTAGTCACTAGTTATGTCATTTCAATGATTAAACTATATGAAATTATATATTTATTGGGGATTAAACAACTACCCAAGTAATTTTAAGACACTCTTCATACAATGTACAATCCCTGCAACGTGTTTTGTCATTTAGGAAACTACATTATAGGGCTGTGCAATTAATCGTATTTTAATCTCGATTACGATTTTGGCTTGCAACGATTACGAAAACAATGTAATCGAAATAAAACGATTATTATTTGTATTGGTTTTTCAGTTGAATTATACTTAAAGTTCAGGGTAATCAACTGTTAAAAACATACTGTTCAATTTTTTTTTCAATATATGGATGTTTTCAAAGTAAATGGATAATCGTTTTTAATAATCGTGATATCAATTATTGACCAACATAATCGTGATTATGATTTTTGCCATAATCGCACAGCCCTACTACATTACGACATCCGAAATTCCAAGCAGTGCACAACGAATAAAATGCCAAAACAGTAGAAGATAACCCTAGTTTGTGTGCTCATGAGAAAGGATGAAAATACAACTAGTTCAGCTGGAATGGCGAACTGACGGAGATGTGAGTTCGTGCCATTTATTTCCTACCCCTAGACATCTCCCTTTATCCTCACACCCACAATCTCTCTCAATCACTGCCCTAACTGTTCGATAGTTGCAGCAATTCACTTCCATTCCATAAAATAATGAAAATTGAACATGCACAGTTTTGATTTAGAAAAATATGAGACAAAGGATGGTTATGTCTTGTCCTTTTTTCTCCTCAATTATTATATTTTCGTATTCATTTTTTTTTTTTACCTTGACACCACTGACTATTTCTGAGCTTCAGTTATTCATTTAATAAGGAAAAACGACATACATATCAGCAGGAAAAAGGGGAGAAGAGGTCGAAAGGGTCGGGGTTATGGTGCCCTCTTTTTGCAGCGTCACCCGACATTTCCATTCTTCAATGGCGGTGATGCAAAGAGGGAGAGAGTTCTGCAACATCATCACAATATTTTACATTGCCACAACATCACAGCAAGGTCGGAGGTGAGGGGGGGTGTGTTTCCAGGGGGCAGAGAGTCCGGAGAGTGAGGTGAAAGAGAGGAGAGGGTGTAGTGTGTGGGACTGCAGCCTGCAGGCTTTTAGTCGAAGGAGATGAGCTGAGCCTCTGCACTGCCGGGCACAGCCTGAGGAACATGCTGCTGCTGCTGCTGCTGATGCTGCTGCTGCTGCTGCTGCTGTTGTTGTTGCTGCTGCTGGCCTCCAGGGGGGGCCACCTAGTAAGAAAAGAAGGTTCACATGGATACAAATTAAGATTTGGCTTAAAGTAACCTGAAAAATAAGTAAAAATACCCAAAAATCATTGAGATAGCGCTGCTTATATCTGTTTAGAAGACAAACCAGTGTCCAAAAGTCAAAGGTGATGTCTTTGTCTTGTTTATTTTTACATAAAAACTAGAAAAGCAGTAAATCTCCATATCTAAGATGCTGAAAAATGTTTATATAATAAACAAAATAGTTGTGGATCATTTTTCTCTTCATCGACTAATCATTACAGCTCTACTGCTGGTGGCTGAGAACAAAGAAAAGGAGCTGACCTGTTGGTACATGGGCGGCTGTCCTTGCATGTACTGTTGGGGGGGCATGTTGGGGTCCTGTCCTGGCAATGCTGAAATCATGTTCTGCATGGGGTAAGGCTGGTAGCCCATGTAGCCCATACCGTTAGTGGGAGCAGGCTGCGACATGGGGGGCAAACTCTGTGCCTGCGAGACCACATTCTGCTGAAAAGAGCACAACAGTTAGTAGGCTTTATGAATGAAAAAAATGAAACCACACGAAAATACTCAACTGCCAAAATATCACAACATGATTCATACTTGCAACAATGTAAGTTTGCAACAGTTCAATAATTGTTTAATAAAAGGTTAGGATAGATTAGCTCCAGCGTATTCTACAGGAAAAAGCTGAATGCATATCATCTATGCATTATGTCCCTATTTATTTAGAAACAAATACAGTGTGTTGTGTGCAGTTGGTATAAAATAAAACAGAAAGAGATTGGTAAACGCTCCGTTTCTGCTTTTAACTGGGAGTAATTCTTACCTGGTAGCCCTGTGTGGGTGTGGGCTGATAGTTGGAGTAAGGTGGACTTGTAGTGGGCGGAGCTTGACCGGGAGGAGGAGCAGGCTGCCCGTTGGTGCCTGCAGCCTGGTACATGTATGCATTAACCATATTTGGATCTGGGAAAGAAGACAATCATTCAGAAACAGAAGGACACTTGATTTAAAAACACTTGAGTATCATTTGTAAATTAATATATTGCAGTCAGGCAAACAATAATAGAAGATTCTTTTATTTCTTAAGCTATCAAAAGCACATCTCCTCACCTGGGGCAACATTGGGCATGGCCTGGTACTGTGGAGGTGCATTCTGCCCTGACTGGTTCATATAGATGTTGTGCATAGGTGAACCCTCCACAGAACCAGCAGGGCTGAAGGTGCCCGGGTAGCTGGGTGGAGCACCAGGCTGGTACACCACCCCTCCCGCCACATTGGGGGGCAAAGACTGCATCTGCAGCACAATCACATAATATCAGACATTTACTCCAACATACTTATGAAGAGGTGAATATTCTGTCTTAGTCGCTTTTCATTGGAATGTGAAAACATGACCAATGAAATTAAATGTACTGTGCACTATGTACTGCAGTAAATTAGCCTGACAGCTGACCATGGAGCATGCGGTGTGTACCTGGGCGTATGGCAGAGAGAAAGCAGGCATTTGTGCTCTCATCTGGATTGTGTGTTTCTGCTGCTCCAGACGCATCTGCCTCTCCTTCTCCTGGTCCTGGAGGCGCTGAATGGCCAGCTGTCTCTGCATTTCCAGGTACTCCTGCAGATCAAAGACAAACACTTGTGAGCATGATAATGAATAGTCTAACAATATGGGCATTATAAGTGGAGAGGCTCATTTCAATACCTGTTTCTTCTGCCTCATGATCTCCAGTTTCTGAGCCAGCTGGATCTGCCTCTGTCTCTCTGACTCCTCGGCGGCGCGGCGCAGCTTCTCTCTGTGTTCGTCCCGCAGTGAGTTGAGGGCAGCCCGAGCATCTCGCACCTGAGCCAACTTGTCCTGCAGCCCCTCGTAATACACTGCGGACAACAAACATGATGTGATGGGTCAGAGACTGAACGCTAAGCATGTGTGAGATTCAATTGGTAAACATGACTTCATGCACACTCACATCGCTTCTCATCCAGCTGGTTGAGGATATCCAACAGCTGAGGATGCATGTTGTTGATGGACTGGAAGAGTGAGAGCACAGCGCTGTCGTTGGTGATGCTGCGCCCACGCATGTGGTTGCTCTTCATGCGGTTAAGGAAGGTGGTGACAGAGTTCTGCAGAGCCTTCAGAAACTGCTCATGGTTCTCCTCCGACTCCCCGTTCTGGTACGGCTGCTGAAGGTGGGGACGAGCGGGAGGCAAAACGCAGAAAGTCATTTGTTGTCTGCACATTCAAGTTTAGATAGACGTAAAGAATGGTACTACACACATTTGCTTTAAACTCAGAGTTACAACATACCTCCACTATGCTGACTGGCTGCACAGGGACATGAGTTTCTACTGGCTGACTGATGGGTGGAGCGGGCTCAGCCAGAGGCACGGGGGCCGGGGCTGAGGGGGTGGGACTCTTGCGAGCCTCTTCTTGTTTCTTCTCCCAGTAGGTTCTGTTCAGGTAGCGGGCCAGCTGGAAGATTGTGAAATGCTACCATCAGTATTATGAACACAATGCAACACTTATAGTAGTATATCTTAATATGGGTGTAGGAAAAGAGAGATAGCACATCATAGTACCTCAGGGTCAACATCTTCAGCTGATGGAGCAGAGGAGTTCTGGAGAAAGCATATTGATCACATTGATGAGTGATAAAAACATATGTGGGTAAATAATTCAGTTTGCCAGAGAGAAAGGCAGCTTGGGAAGGAGTCTTACCACAGGGGAGGTGTAGAGGGTGCTGACAGGCGGTGCTGAGGAAGTCACTGGAGTGGGATCAGCTTTGGGATACATTGAGTAGGAGCTCTTATGCCTCTGTAAGAATACATATATGTAGGAATGAGTTTCTGTCTATAAACAGGATGAAAAAATACAAATGAGAGGTTTAGCTGTGCAACCCACCATGCGCTCCTTCTCCTCCGCCTCGCTTTGGGAGAGGGCGATGGCCATCTGCAGCTCCTCCTCCTCCTGCAGAGCGGCCTCGTCTCTCTTCGGGGGCATCTGGTGAGAGAGCAGACCCAGAAACAGCACACAAAATCCATTAACGGATGGTGGAACAAAATCATTCAAATACAGTGCAGGGTGAGTGCACAAAGAACAAGGAAATGTGTCAAAACATCATATATACATTTATTTCAAAAGTAACCAGAATGACTATGCCATTACATTTTCCACTTCTACCTGGGACTGTTGGGACAGCGGGCTGGTCAGGTACTCAGGAGGCAGCTCGACTGCACTTGGGGTAGGGGCTTTCCCCTCAGCTTTCCTGAGAGGAGGAGAGAGGGAGGGGTGGCTGGGAAAGAAAAGGGACAGGGAGGACAAACAACGTGTCAATTAGGAGAGAGGATTCTGCTGCTTGAGACACCAAGATCTCTACAGAGAAAATGCACAACACTGTTAATGATGCAACATCTTCTACATGGGCTATTATGATACATCAGATGTGTTTTTGAATCATCATCAAAACACAGATGCTTAAGCAGAGTCATGTTCAGGTAGGGCTGTGCAATTAATCGTATGTTAATCGCAATTACGATTTTGGCCTGCCACAATTACGAAAACAACATAATCGAAAAAAACAATTATTTAGCTTTGCTAGGTTGTGACAGTGCAACATATTGGATCTAATTTATTTTAGTCTAATTTATTTGTATTTATCATATTTATATATGTTTAGTAGCTTGTGGAAGTGCGCTCCAAAATATTTGTTGATCTTGTTTATTGGTATTTATTATTTTGATATTATTTATTTAAATGTATCATTTATTTTATTTATTTTAGTATTGGTTTTTCAGTTGAATTATACGTTCAGGGTAATCAACAGTTAAAAAGATACTGTTCAAATTATTATTTGTATTTGTTTTAAAGTTCAATAAATAGATGTTTTCAAAGTCAATGAATAATCGTATTTAATAATCGTGATATCAATTATTGACCAAAATAATCGTGATTATGATTTTTGCCATAATCGCACAGCCCTATGTTCAGGTTTTAAAAAGGTTTAGGTCAGTCAGAACCATTACTACAAAATGATGGTCATTTCAATTGTTCACATTGCTAAAAGAGCCATTAAAAAGGCCAAAAAGTCATTTTGAAGCATTGCTCACAGTAGATATATACATTGAAAATGAGTTTGCAAATCAAAAGCATGTTGGTCATGCAAGCAGTTATAAAAAGCTGGCATATTAAAAGAAACCATTTATTTTTTCAGGTTATCTAATGTGATGTGTACCAGATTTCCGAATACAATGCAGAACATTAAAAGAACAAAACTAAATTGAGATAGAACAGAACAATAGGGCCAAAAACAGGACCTCCTTGGTGGAAGTAGTAAACAGAATACGTCAAGGAACATATCAACAATATGATGCTTAGGATCGAGAGAATAGAGCAAAACTAGCAAGAGAGCAAGGGAATGATTTACAATGCCAGTGCCATACTGCAGCTAATGAAGTCCTCTACAGATATGACGCACTGTTGAGAGACACTTTACTTCAAACTCTGAGAAGGAAACCCATACTACCATACCATACCAGCGTCGGGGACTCACTTGTTAAGCAGCTCAAAGCAGGGCTCACACACACGCACTTCCTTCTCTATGCCGAACTTGGGAATGGTGGAGTACTTAGACGAACACTTGCCACAGAAGATCTGGCCACAGGCTCGACAATGGTGCTGGAAAAACAAAGAACACAAATTGAGATCAACTTCCGCACATGCGCTATAAAACATACACAATGTGCTGTAAATGAATGAAGGAAACCGTACATTCTCCAAGAGCCGTAGTTTAAAGAAAGCCCAGCCTACCTTTCTTGTCATGACTCCAAACTGGACTCTGCACCGGTGGCACTCCTCGGCATCAACCCAGTCCGGGGCCTGGACAAAGCAGACAAGTGTTAGATACTATATGCCCACTGCAGCTTCGTTAAGTGGTAAGTCATTCTCTCTACCCATTAGTTCAGTGGAAATGGCAAGCATCCAACATTTTGGTGTATATTCACCACGCAACTCAGTGAAAGTCACTAACTACACAGCAGTGAAACAAGAAACACACAATGTCTTACTCTCTCTGCTGCAAACATCGCATCACTCTCCTTAAACTCAGGGAACACATGACCTGTAAGAAAATAAGTGGAAAACATGCGTGTTAAACACAGTGTGAAACTAGCAGTACAGTAGCAGCACACTGGCAGTACAACAAAAGTTAACAATGATACATGATAAAGAACCCATGTCAAGCATTAATCATTACTCCTGAATTGTTACAATAAATGCAATTCCCGAAATGATTTTGCTATGCAGAAAATACTTTCATTATTTACCAGCTGTCCATATTAACTTTGACTGTATGTCTTGATAATTATTATGTAATGCTTAGCTGGCTCCTCTTTTCCCGTGTGTGAGACGCCAAGTGTCAACAGATACGATGACAGGATTATTAATTTAAAAAACTAAAATATTTTTAGTTTACATGAGTGATTGTGTCAATGAAACACAAGAAAATATTACATTTTAGGCATATTCCTGAGATTTATGTAGTTGTAATACCACAAATATACAAATGTAGGTGCTAAGACCGGATGAGGAACTTTTATCTGGGTTTTATATTTTCAAAGAATATTAGGCTTCCCTTTAGGCCAGCTTGATGGGATATACATTTAAGTAAAACACAGCATGCGTCTGCTTACCTTCCACTTTCATGATCTGATAGGTGTCTTGGACCACCTTGTATTTGGGTTCGTTGCGGAAGGCGTGAGACCAGGCCTGGATCAGGTACAGGATTTTGTTTCTGACATTTGGCTCCGTCTGTGTCTGGTGGTAAAGGAACCACACAGTGAAAAAAAGTCTCTTCACCTTTAAATCCTTCTTGTATTATTGCTCTATGAACCCTTCTCATATTCTACATTTGGGGTCTGTCAAAACATTGTTATAACTGAGCTCCTCCAACACATACTGAGGCAAGCAACATGTGTTTGATGACAAGAGCTGAGGTGGGAAGTCCCTTGTTATGGTCTGAAAAAAGCCTCCTGTCACAAGGCTATGACATCATCAGGAAGTGGAAACCGTCAGGGCAGGAGGAGCTTGTGTCACATGATACAGCAAAGATCCAATCAAATAGTGCTAGCTCACGCTGCAGTGCAGCCAGCTGCCTGACGGCTCCTTGTCATAAATATGGTCAGACAAATCCCACTGTCTATGTAACAGGGCAACAAATATATACTGTATAGAAACTGTCAACTGCTTGTTTACTTAAAGCTGCAATGATGTTATTTCGATATAATTGTACAAGATTTGGTTAAACAGTCGATTACCCAAAAAAATGATGGCAAATATTTACTGGATTCATCATCCACAATATATTTTTTTAAGGATTTGGAGCTTATTTTATGTTTTATATCATTGTAAACTGACTATCTTTGGGTTTTTAACAAAACATCTAAGATAACCCTAGTCGATTAATCTGACAATGAATTAAACAGAATAACTGATACAAAAAGATATCTTTAACTACAGCTCTAAATCATGACTTAAGTTAACATTTGTCAGCAAATTCAGCTTCACAATGGAAAGAAAGTATTGACCATAACTGAGGTTGGTCAGAACTCATGAGATGTTCATTTAAATGTGGTATGTGAAAGAAGCAGATTTGTAAAAAGTACATTGGAAACTAAACGGAGCAGAATTATGAAGTGCAAGAAATGCATAGAACAAAGGTCACCTTCAGTAAATCCTTGAGCTCCTCCATAGTTGTTTTACTTGCCACCTCATCGTGGACTGTCTGGCCACAGTTCTTCACCACTGACTCCAGGACCTGAGGGGTGAGGTCACAAGATCATTCAAATAACCATTTTTGGCAAGACAGATCAGAAATCCTTATTGCTAAAGCGTGATGATTAACAGTGACTGATGATGCCTCTTCTATTGTTGCGAAAGGGCAACCATGTTCAAATCACAGAGAGTTCAGTGTGTCTTTTTAGAGCACTCTATAAATAAAATGTATTATTATTATTAGAAAATGTATCAAATACTATGATACATTGGGCAGCAGTTATACTTTTAGTGATGTATTCCCAAAAACTATACTAAAGAGTCTTTCCTAAGTGTATCAACAGTCAATTCATTTTGCAGCAAATACACACTGCCTTTCATCCATAAAATTATCAAAAGTTCACCCAAAAGTCAAAACAGCACACTATCAATCAAAATGCTGTACATACCTCAAGTGCGTAGAGAGCCACATGTGGATTTTTGTCGCTAAGCTTCTTCTTGATGGCCCCAACAGCATATTTTGCTCTGCAAGATCAAATACAAATATTGCTCAACAGAAAATAATCAATAAATAAAGTCAGCAACGAAACAAAAGCAATAAAACCTTTGGGAATTAGTGCCATTCAACTACCACAAATGATACGAAATATAGAGGGAAGGGAAGTGGGCAGAATCACTCACTGTGCATCTCCTTGTCGGATGAGATCACAAATCTGCAGGATGGATTCCCAGTCAGTCTCCAGCAGCAGCTGACTGGTGGCTTTATCTGCAATCATACAAATGGTGAATAACATATTTATTCTGTACTACAGAGTATCTGCTACACCAAACCAACATTTCTTAAGAGGCATTGCATTCTCCTCATTACACTCCTAGATGTATTATAAACATGCTTAATGAAAACAATGTTCTTCTGCTCTTTATATAGATATGAATTATATCCACACTCAGTTTATTAGATACGCACCGACAGCATCCAAAGTGAGACAGTCTGTAATAAACCCTGCCTTCAAGAAGAGTTATAATATGCAGGTTTTGTTAGAACTGCTTTAGATGGGAACTGAATCGCCTTTGTAATCATTTTGAAGGCTTTAATATGTGGTGAAGTTGATATATATTGTGTAAAATGTAAAGGTGATTCCATGTTGTTTTATTTATACAGTGTATCACTATACAAACATGTCATACAGCTATATACATACATGTCATATATCTGTTTAAGGGTGATTTTGAATTGATGCAGTCAAACAGTGATGTTTTCTCTAGTGAATAGTTTTACAGTAATTACTGTGTCATGAGAAAATACCCTAATTTGTATGTCAAACAACCATGATTGTGTGTATGATTTTATGAGGGAAAACAACTAAATTCAATTGAAACATGCTTTTATTTTAAATTTCTTTGAATATGTTTATTTACCTAATGTTGAGGCCCTGTGTCAACATCTAGTTTGAGGAGCCAAAATGACACAAATAGGAAATTTGAAAAATGCAAAGAGGGTTGTTTATCACCTGAGGGCCAGTAGCTTTTTTTAAGGAGTTTTTTATGTGGCCATCAGTATCAACCGACATGGCATGTTCACACAGTGTGTTAGTGTTGTCTCCCAGTTGGTTATTACAAATTAAGATATTGGTGTTATCTCGTGTGAATGTCCATTTTAGACATTTCAATGACACAGTAGTTTATGTCCTATGCTAGTGGTAGTGGAGGCTAAGATAATTAGCCATCTTCTAAAGTGACCTTAACCAGCGCTGTTAATGGGAGGTCTTTTATTCAAGGTAACGTTTTAATATCTACCCAGGGAGCCGATTAGAAGCTAGCTAATCAACCTGTTGTTGACTTAAAAAAACTTAAAACAACACATAAAGTTTGTTATCTCAGAAATGATATAACAATGTTATGTTGGGCTGCTTGGCTTTCTTGGACGGTCGAGCCATGTCATCAGTTATAGTGACGTTATTCACCAGGTAACATTTGATCGTGTGTGAACATGAACCTAAAAGAAAACCAATAACATGGATTAACCGGCTGATAGCACGGAGATAATAAGGTAACGCAGATTTGATTAGAGTTAAAGCAAAAATAAGGGTCTAATGAGATGGTATTCGTTACTTAAATAATCGGGTTGCTAAATTAAGTCTCCCTGGGCCTCCAAACAATAGGAGTGAATTGTTAGCAGGCTAAAATTAGCTGGCCTGAGACTGAGCCACAGCCCAGCGTCTGTCAAAACAATACGCTGGAAAACATCGCACTTTGACTCACAGTTGGCTAATACTATTAACTTAACAAGTCTGATGATAACTTACCAAGAAGCCGTTCAAAGGTACCTCCACCTTTTCCCATATTGGACTCGGAGTCTCTCAGTAGCTGTCGAGTCGTCCTGTTTAGTGAACGGATCCTGGTATTTTCACCGCTGAGGTTAGCTCCTCTGTTAGCCTCTCTGTTAGCCACGAAGCACCACAGCTGTGCAGCTCTTCCTACTTCCCACTTCCGCCGCAGAAACAACAACATGGAGGGATGTCTCCCTCTAGCGACTCATATATGCAACAACAAGTAAGACTACAGTTAAAATGTGCTATATAATGTTGACAATTATTTTTGTTTTAATTGACAAATTCATTATATACAATAGTTATGGTAAAACATAGATGCACATACAGAACAGATAGGCTACAAATACATAATGCAAAACATAAAATCAAAATATTAAAAGACGATAAGCCTACATAAAAAACAGCAGGTTTCAAGGGAAATGTGTCACAACTTATTTCATAAATGCTTATTACTTGTGTTGTTGTTCATTATCATGTCATTTAAGTCATTTTATTATTATTTGTGGAATATATTATGTTTACAAAAGGCACATGACATGTCCTCTGTACATGTATATGATTAGAAAAAGAAGAATTTAAAGTGTAATACCTTAATTGCTTTGATAATACAATACATATATAATGTAGCCAGTTTATGTAATACATTTTGTAATTCCAGAAAAAACTTGCCTTAGGTTTTTTTTTTTTTTGGTTAATATGTTTATTGTTACAATGTACACTTTTTAGTTTAGTTCAATTACATTCAAAACAAGAACTATTTCCACCCTTGGCTTTACATCTCTTTTTTACTTTATTTATTTGAAGCAAACCCTTTCTCCCTTTAAACCTGTAACCATTGCTCTGACAGTTCAACTGTACTTTGAACACTTTAAATATATTATTAACATTTTAAACTGTATACCCCGGTTATCTAGGCCCTTTTTGTTTTGTTTAATGTATACCACGTTTATCTAGGCCCTTTTTGTTTTGTTTTATGTATACATGTCACACTGTGGGACTGTGGGAAACGATATTTCGATATTTCTGGATGTATAACACATGTAGAATTTTTGACAATAAAGCTGACTTTGACTTTGACTTTGACCTTAATACAAGGTTTTATTTAATGTAGAACATAATATCTTCATCAGCTGGAGTATTGATGTCAAGGGGTTTTTACCTCACTAAGAATTATATCATAAATGATTTATTAGTACACTTGTATGATACATTATTACTATAAGTGGGCTTATAACAAACCTTGTTTAGCTCTTTTACCCACTGCACTGATTATTTACAATGTAAATAGTGCATTTGTCTTACTCAACATTTTCCCGTTACATTGTTCAGTAAAATAGCACAGTCCGCCTTACTGTATTCACTACTCTACATTAGTATATGCCTGCTTAGGTCATATATGAGTCACTACCTGGCACTTGGTACACTGGTGCCCATTGTTATCATGGTGCTGTAGTGCTTTATAATGTGGCATTGTGTTGCTCTGTCCTCTGCTGTTAGAGACGGACAAAAAAACGTTTCATTGTTTACACCAATTACAAAGGAAATACTAGGGTATATTTTATATGCAGTTAATGATGATATGGTAGATTGGAAAAGTATGAAAATTCAGCATTTCATGTCAGAATATGCAGTGTGCTAACTATAAAGTTATCTAATGGTTTAAATGAACTGAAAATGTATTTTGAAACTCTCTTTGGATGTGTATTTAATGTTATCATTTCACAGCAAGGAGCACAGAATCCGAGGGATCTGAACAATGTCTCATGAATAAAGATGATGCTTTTTCCACTGTGGCTTGTAACATCCCACATAAAATGCATTCACACAGAGAGACACTGACAGATAGGCACGCACACATGTATTACAAACTTGTACATTCTGTGTTGATCTGTATTTAACTTAATATCATAACTTTTTGGATATTCAAGATAGGTGATTGGATGTAATCTTTAGCAATATCAGTCAATTCTTGACTAATGTGTTTTTGACAAAGAGTAGGAGGTTCTCTGAGATACCGCAATAACTTGTACTATGAGAGCTGTTAACCATTTATATGTTGTGAAAGAAAGATAATTTGTTTTTCTTTGTCCCTGGTACGGGTAGCCGAGGCAGGGAAAAGGAGATGGAAGATAGGAGATAGAGGACGACGCACAACAATATGGCACCACAAGCAAATGTACACACATCTCCATTGTTCTATTGTTCCTCTCCACTCAGCAGAACCCCTAGTAGTGTTTAAACAAAGGAGCAAAACAAAGATTTTTATTTAAAACTACTGTAGCTTACTGCTTCTCTCACACAATAAGATTTTGTATCGTAAAAATGTGAAAAAACACAATTTCCCTCAGTAGAGGACCAAAAACGTTTATTGTATTTTACAGTGACAGACAGAGAACAAGGTTATTGAAGGATATCAGATATGAAATAATAAAATAAGTTCAATTCTCCCTAAACAGCCTCCTGTGGCTTTTCAGAGAGAAAAAAACTAACTGGAATAACACTAAATATAAAATAATTACAAGGAGCAAGATCAAAAGAAGAGAAATATGGGTTGGTCATCGTTTGGGGTGTATTTGTGGGACTTGAAGGCTTTCAGAAATGTTGGAAACTCAAACATAACCTTTGACTTGGCTGGCGGGTGCCCTGCGAGGACTACTCTCTCCACTGCTGAAGGTGGGAGAGCCTGGGAGGCCAGGGGGGCTTGACCCAGTGTAGATCAGAGACCCCCCAATGAGAAGCAAGGCTGATGCACCCCAGCCGATGTAAAGGGCAGGGCCCAGCTCACGCTTGTGTGGGGCTGCGACATGTGGATCGTAGAAATCTCTGATGATGGAGTGGGCAGTCCAGCAGACGGGCACTAGGTAGAGGAAACCTGCGATCGCAAAAATGGCGCCAGAGATACGAGCAATACGGGCCTTACTACTGCTTACGCCAATGCACTTGGTGCACTTGACTCCCAGGACCCCTAGAGCTAGACCCAGGCCACACATCAGGATGGAGAGCACAGTGAGGCCTCGGGCAGCCTGCATGTCACTGGGCAGAGCCAGCAAGCTGTCGTACACCTTACACTGGAACTGACCTGTGCTCTGAACAATGCAATTCATCCAAAGACCTTCCCAAATGATCTGTGCCGTCACTATGTTGTTACCGATGAAGGCAGTGACCCGCCACAGGGGCATGACACACACTATAAACCCACCGACCCACCCAACAATGGACATGATCAGGCCCAGCAATTGCATACCCGTGGTTGCCATGGTGAAAGGTGTTGTTTGAATCAGATGGATTTGTCTCTGTTTTTATTTCAGTCTTTGTTTGTTGCAGAGAGACTAATAATACAGTCCCACGACGAAATGTGACAGTCTACAGTACTGGAAACGTTGTGCGCCACTGCAGTCCTCAGTCTCCAGGTGATGAAGTTCAGCTTGGGTGAGACAAGGATAGGTATCCTGACATTCAGAAATTACAAAAAAAGGTAGAAACAATTTAAACATATAGTGCAACAAATCAGGTAGAAATTATTTCAAACTTTTAACTTCTAACAACAACAACAAGCATTTCATTAGTGAAGCATGAAAGCACTAAGTAAAGCATATATTTATCATAAATATGTTTGTTGCAAGGCCCATGTTTAGTGGATTCCAGTGAGGACCACAGAGAATAGCTGTCTTTGACACAGCTGTGGGTGTCGAGCTACGCCTTGCCTGGTGAGTGGATTATCTCAGAAAAAACATGAGGAGATTCTGAACACAAGCATCTTTCATGAAGGCTTTGTCGAGTGGGCCAGGAGAACCTATGTCATCTTTTTATTACAGCTCTCAGTTGTCCACATTTGACTAATTCAGTGAATAAAACCCTCCCAGCTCAATAAATCCAGGAGTTGCTCCATGACAAGGATTGATGGAAAAATGCCAAAAGAATAAGCTTTACCCAATAGACCCTTTTTGAGATAAATGTACAACCAATTGATACCCATCTGATGGGATTTCTATTACATTTGAACAAGTCATTTTCCTATTTAAGTCCTTTCAGGAAATGTGGCAAGCAGGAGCTAAACTCCTGGCTCCAACACCAAGAATACTTAAATACAAATTGCAATACAGCTAAACATAAGGAATTAGATACAATAGAATCGTTTTTTTTGTGAAATTAATATTTGAAATGTCACAGATGTACGAATATTGTAAAATATAATTACCTCAATGAAGTTTATCGGACTCTCGCTTCCTCTTGGTTCACAGGTTATTGTTGCTGGTCCTTTGCTTGTGTGGAGGGTTTGGATCCCAAAAGTTGTGAATGACGGCCCTGAGATATTCAGTTCGGTCCACAGGAAGGCTGCAGAGCAGGGGAGGCTCTATCTCAGAGGTCAGCTTAACTGAAGAGGGTCGATCAGCTTCGACACCCAGCACTGGACTGGAGATGGGGCTGCCCTCGGAGATGCCAGCGCAAGTCTGTGCGGCAGTGGGCAGAAGCATGCGCTTGTGTGCACGACCATGTAAGTGTGTGAATGAGTGAATGTGTTTGAGTGTGTCTCCCAGTGCCTGGTGTACAAGCACAATGCCCTGCTGTTTGGCTCGGCCCTCCCTTCCCTGCTCTTCGTCAACCTCTGTCCCAACCCTGCATCCATCCAACTCTGCCACCCAGTTTCTCCTCTTTTTGTGACTTTGACTCACTTGTTCATTTATAAGAGTCTTCTTTTTTCTTCTACCCTCCTCTTTCCCTTTCAATCTGTTTATGGGTTTCATTGAAGTTTTCGAGTGTAGGGAGTCAGTCCTTATGCAACCTCTCGTTCACTGTTCTGACAAGAAAAATGTATTTCATTGTTCATATGGATCTGTTATTAAATTAATATATTTGACACACTTCATTGAAACTGAAAAGATAATCACGACAAATTATAATAATGATACTGGAGATTTATAAATATAAAATAAGAAGTGTGAAGTTTAGATGCTGCAGAAACTAGAAGAGATGATTAAGGGAGCATCGTTTTTTCCGCCATGCAGGCGACCAGGACTGAAGAATGGATGAAGCCTGTCGGTAAATGTATCTGTGAAGGTGTAAATGTGGACTCCTGATTCTGCGCAGTAGAAGGATACACGGCCTTCTGTGTAGTCCAGAAACACGCCCACCTTTCTGGGTCTCTGCTCTAGAGCCAACGGCGTGACAGGAGAAGTGTTGGCTATAAACTGGCCGCCAGCCTTCAGGCTTAAAGTCCAGAAACCATTTGCAGGGCACACGGTGAACTTGCCCTTCCTGTTTATCGATTGTCTGACAACACCCAGGTTCCACTCGATCTTCTCCCCAACCTCCACCTCCCAGTAGCATCTCCCGCCGCTGAGACTCTCTTTGGCCAGCACGTTCGCCACACGGTCGAACCGTTTGGGGTTATCTGGAAGCTCCCGAAGCTTGTCCGTGTGTCTCACCTGTTTTCTGTCCTCTGAGACAGAGAGGAAGGGGTGGGCTGTCTTAGCGCTCAGATTGACATCCACTAAGAAAAACAAAGGACAAAAGGTCAACAATAGGTCAAACAGCATTGACATCCTTGGCACTGTGAAACTACTGGGGTTGGTTCAACTCTAACCTGGTATCAGCTGATTAAATGGCTGCTATGAGTCACTATCATTTATATTATAATGCTTTGGATGGGCCAAATGAGCAAACAGCAAATAATTGCACGTTTCAAAAGTGAAACTTGGTAGTAGTAGCAGTTTTGAACACGCTTATCGCTGTGAGTAAAACCAAACATTTGTGTCAGTGATCAACAATGTGAGTAGACGTTGTTTCTGTGTAAATGAAGCCTTACCTGCGTATTTCTCTATTCTCTTAAGTTCTGTAAAAGAAGAGTAGAAACAAGAAAATAGGAAACACCATCAGATTATAGCAGAATGCTTATTTAATGACTTAATAGACAAGGTAATAGTCACATTACTCACCAGATTTTGAGAGCCTATTGACGTCCACCTTTATCTTTTCCATTACGTCTGCCAGTGCTCGTCTGGTGACCCCAACACAAGGGTCAGTTTCTATGGTAACCCTGGACCAGTCCTTCATCTCAGACGGGCTCATTGTGGGAACAATGGTCTGCATGAAATAAACCAAGTTTTAACTAATGGTACACAGTTACCATTATGATTATATGGGTAGAAGAAGGTGAGGATGCTTACCACTGTAACTTGTTCTGTATCATCGCCCTGCTCACTGTTTCCAGGAACCTGGGGATCAGGTTCAGGGGTCTCCTTCTTTAGGGTCTGAATCTCCTGTTCGATCTCTTTCACCAGTGTTTCTACTTTCTTTTCCTCCTCCCTCTGCCTTCCCTCGATTGCGTCAACAACTGCTTTGTGATTCTTTTCCATAGCTTGTACGAGGGCAGAGAAGACTTTCTGGCTCTCTCGCACCTCTCTGAGGTAAGAGTTCTGATTGGACATCGTCATGAAGCATTATTACACTAAATACATTTGCTTTAAACATAGATTTGAAAGATGCAAAGTTGTTTAACTCACCTTTTGAAGCTCAAGAGCATATTTTAACCTTTCTATTTTCTGCAGCCTTTCCTGAATCATTAGCTCAACATTTATAACCTGTAAGAAATACAAAAGAAATACATTTATATAAAGCAATATCACACATTTACAATTATGGGGCATACTGTATGTCCTTAGACCATTCAGAGGCTAAAAAAAGAGGAATATAAGCATACACAGATATATTTATTGAAGGAATACTTCACCACCATTAGCTCATCCTGTGTTACCTTGAATTCTTAAAGAAAACATCGATTTTTCTCACGTTTCAGCTTTAAATAAAACAATTCAAAACCCGACAGATCATTAATTAATAATTTTTGAAAACACAATAAAGTACCAATTCCTCATCAGGTGGTTTCTCTGGCCGAGTCTTCCTGTAGTTGTCCGAGACCTCAGCCAGAATGTGGTTGACACTGAGGTCGGGCCTGTCGGAGAACAGCCTCCTACAGTGCGGGCAGTATTTGGACTGGTGTCGTGTCCAGTATTGGCAGAGACAGGACAAGCAGAAGCTGTGTCCACATGGTATGGTCACTGGACTGGTGAAGATGTCTCTACACAGAGAGCACAAGAAGTGCTTTTCGGGCAGGAGGCTAATTGTAGAGGCCATACCCTGTAAATAACAATGACATGTTAACAAAGTATGAGGAAGCTATTGTGGTACCTATGGTAGATAAGCTTGCACTTAAAGGGTTGTTTTGTTTGGATAAAAAGATAAAACATAAAGAACCAGTAAGCTGAGGGCGATGTTGTACTGTACCTCTGAAATGGATTCCCATTTTATGAGGAAATATAATTTGTTATGGAAAAGAGCAGTAACATTAGAAAGCTAATAGTTGAACAATGTCGTATTTGTTACTGAAAACACATCACTTGTGGAAAAATTATTACATTCCATCTTGAACTATAATAACCTGTCAGTGACTGCTTACATTTCTTTTAAAGCATAAGGAAAGAAAAGCACTTTCCCGAGATAAATGGGACGCCATGTTCTTGAAGATTGCCCTCCTGTCGTGTTATGCAATGATACACAAAGGACAGGAAATGTGATTTTTCTTGTTAATCCACTGAAGTTACATTCATTCAGTGGAAAAGCTCCCCACAGTGAAGCCTACCCTTGTCTTCTTATTGTTATTGTCACAGATGTTTGTGTCAAGAGGTATTTCTTTGTGATCAAGTACAGATATGCTTTCAGAGAACGGAAGCAGCTCAAATATTACTGGAAGTATGTGGTCAAACAAGTAGTGATAAACTATTTGTTTGACACCCTGAGCTACAATACAACTCAACACAAAGCAATTACTGAAATGTTAAGCCCTGACTACATTGCACTCCTACATTAAAGCAGGAAACACCCTCTGAAACATTCATGAAGGATTGATCTGGTTTTCCTAGGAAATAGGGCAGCTCTTCCAAAAATGAAACTGAATGTAATGTTACAACATTTACTCAGCAGAGAGTGATCTTACCTTTCAAAGTCGATCTTGTCCAGATAACACAGCGGCCACACCACACTGCTTCTATTCCCAGTTTCAGGTAGAGACTGCAAATGATTTACACTCAACAGGTGCATTAGGGTGTGTGTGTGTGTGTGTGTCTCTGTGTCTAGAAAAGGGGTAGTGCTTTTTAGACAATGGCACTCTCAGTTGAAACTCCACCCTGGATGTTATCTGAGCTTCTCTTCAACTAACCTATGGCAAGACACTAGGAAATGTTAGAGGCTGAATAAAATGTCATGTGGCCATCAAACAATTAACTCTCACGTGTGCTATCACAAATAAAATAAAAACTAAATGTATCCAAAATACTAATTTACAGTTTAAATCAGACATTAGATTCACTTTTGTTATCCATTAACTATTCCCTTCAGCTGCATATAAAACAAGTCTTGTTCCAGTTTCAACCTAAAGGGAGTTGTTCAGATTTCCCATCTACGTTGGTTGAAGTCAGCCTTAAAGCTACATATAGTACAGGTAGATACAAGAGAAGATCATATTTTATTGTCACTTTAGTCCTGACAAACAGGTCCTAATAAGTCAATAGCATGCTTACAGTATCCAAATGTATTCTAAGTAAAATCCTGCAAAGTAAATATCTAAGTATTATCAGCTACATTTACTTTAAGCTAAAGTATTCATTATGCAGTCAGTGTTTTACTCTGATGTTTTGCCTATTCCTATTGCTGATGTATTTATGTATATATGCATTTTAAAAGTTGTTTACTATTCTTTATAGTGTCACTGTGTTGTGATCAATTATCTTTCCCAAAAAGTAGGACTTATTTTCTTAGACCATTAAAGGTGGGGTATGTAATTTTGGAGAAACCAGCTCGAGTGCGCTAGAATTTGAAAATACACAACCTCTTCCTTCAGACTTCCTTACAGAGCCCCTCCTCCAACACACACGAACGCGCACATGACCAATGAGGGCACGAGATAAGTTTGTGCACAGATGGAAGGCTGGCAGGCAGGTAGGCCATCCAGTTATTTTAGCCGGGCCGGCTAAAATGATTGGTCGTGCTTTTTACAGTACTACAGCTTCCACAGATGACATTTTTTTATGTATTTATTGTCAAAGCATTTAATGTATTCATTGCTATCGGGGTGTTAAGAGCATTCCATGGAATATAACAAAAAGTGTTTCTGAAATAAATGACATACCCCACCTTTAAGGAACACTTACTGATAATAGTTTTCTGTTTGTTTACTGGACAGTACACGTTACAAGTATGAGAAATTGTAATTGGAAATGTAACTAAATATATAAGACATATGCAGTGGAGTAAAATGTTTTAGATTTACCTCTTAAATTGTGTGGGGTAGAAGGTACAAATCATAATTCTCAAGTATTTCATAAGCTAGTAAAACTCATACTTGGTCTACTGCACGCTAACAGGGACGAGTATTTACAAAGAAGCGATTGATGAAGATTGAGTTGAAGTTGAGTCTGGCAGGAGGAGCCACTCTGTCCTCCATGTGCTCTACAGCCACCTGGGCTGTTCCTCCGGCCGATCCACCTACTGCACCACCTATGATCCCATAAAGAACCATCCCTCCTGGCCCCTCTATGGACCCGAACAGTGCCCCCATGACAGCTCCCACAACCAAACCTGTCCCAAGTCCTCTAGCCAGGGATGTTCTGAGCCATCCGTTGTCCATCTCTGCCATGGCTCTGATCTCTGCGCCTACATTTGCGACGTAGGTGTCCTTCTGTTGGTACAGCTCCCCCGCTATGTACTGCTTTTCCATCTCAACCAACGCCTTCTCTATCTCCCCTTCCCTCTGCTTCTTCAGCCTCTTCTCCTCCTTCTTAACATATTCATCTGCCTTCTGGAAAGTTCTGCTGGAGAAGAATGCCCCTCCCAGGGACGCCACCATCCTCTCTATCTTCTTCAGCAGCTCTCTGTCCGAGCGTCGATCCCTCCAGTTCTTGCTGAAAATGTGAAAGCGTCCGCCGTACTGCTCGATCAAATCTCTCAGGAGCCAGTCAGTCTTCTCCGCCCTGTCTTCCAGGGCAGGTAGCTCCAGGTTTCCTCCGTAGGCCAGGAGGACAATACAATGCCTTAGACAGTGTCTACCATACCGCTCCATCATCATTTTGGGGGTTTTCATTTCATTTTTGGAGATTTTTTCCAAGTCAAAGGTGACAAGAAAGGCATGTGGACCAGGAGAGCATAAGCACTTAGACTTCCTCAGCTCCATCTCCCTCTTGACTTGACATATACCCTTGTCATAGATGTTTGGTGCATTGATCACAGCCACTCGTCTACCAGACAGCACTCCAGTATTCTTTGTGCATTCAGAAATACTGGTGATATCCTTAGTAAAGGCCTCCCTCCCAAGTATGTAGTTTGTTAGTAGGAACTGCGAAGGTCCACAGCTACTGATCAGCATGAGCCTTAATTCTGTAGGAGATCCTGCGAAGAGATCAGTTGAAAGTGAGATCGAAGTAACAACACATACAGTACATGCAATGTGTATTTGTTTACATGTATCAGTGTTATTGAACATGCATCAATCTCATATGCAATAGGTCGCACGAGAGGCTGACATATTGTAAACATTAAGTGAAAATGAATCATATCTCTAACACTCAAAGAGTAACTCATACTAGGTTGTGTGCCATATATTAAAACTGCCAGTTATTGCTGTTCCTCTATGTTAATGGCTTTTTTTTGTTTGGTTGCTTTTATTTTTATTTGATATTGGTTAAGGCTGTGCTTTTCTAACAATCCTATTTTATTCAGAGACATTTTTTTGTAGCTAATTAATATTTCTCTACAATCCATAGCAATGATGTGAGGCTGTGCTTTGAGCTGATTGCTATTGACATAAACACGAACGGAACATGCTGATTATCTCACCATGCTAACTGTTGCTAATAAGCACAAAACAAAGTACGGCTGACTAATGGTAACGCCACAAGTTAGTTTTACAAATATTAGATCATAAACCGAGAACAAACTGACACTGCCATGCTGCTTGGCTTAAAACCAAGACTTCTTGTAAAGGTTGATAAATCGCATGCATACTGATGAACCCAGCTTTTTAGCTTTGTTAGTTAAAGTGAAGCAGAGTCATTTGTTTACCCCCTGTTTATCCTAATGCAGTGACCTTACCTTTCTTCCTCTTATCCATTTTGTAGATTTTACAGCACAGATTCGCTCTTTCAAATTGGATTCTCACAGAGTTTGCAGCTTCTCACTGGACTGAGGTCATCACCATAACTGTGCCATGTATTCAATGAAAACACATCCCCCTCTTTCTCTCCCTCTCTCTCTTGATTAGGTAATAGGTATCAGATTTAATATTAGTGGAAAATGGCCACAGGGGTGAAAAGCTGGCAGTGAGCACATTCCACATTAACATTTATTGACATCCCTAATTAAATAATTAAAAGTTCGTAATAATTTACAGCGTTATGTACCTTTGTACTTTGGAAAAACTGAAGCGTGAAATAACAGCAGGATTTATATATTTTCTTTGTGGTGGATGAGGTGTTTTTCTTTTTAATGTTTTTTTTATAATCATCATCGTCATAATCATCATCGTCATCACAACAAACCCTCAAGTGTTAATCACCACTGATCAGAGGTCATTATTTTAAGAGGACAAGAACAGACTAAGGAGTTGTCGGTCCTCCAGCAAAGCTAGGATGGCTCTTACCTCACAATGATGTCGGCATTTAATTAACTGTAACCTTGATTAGTAAATTATTTTATGAATATATAAACACTGATTTTAAAGGTGACATTTGCAAGCTTATCTCACTGCCAGCCAACCAGAAAGTGTATTATTCCTGGCCTCAGAGAAATCAATAGCTAATTAAAGTAGTTCATCCTGCAGAGCACACATTTATTTTCTAAATATAGGCTCGTGTCCTTATGTGTTGTCACTTATACAAAAAATACATGTGTTTAAAATAACTAATCACATGCAAAATGTCCAACATGAATAGATACAAACATGGTAAGCTCTGTGGTCAGGGGTGTTATAGTATTGTGTTTTTGTTTTTTAATCAGCTTTACATCAGGTGCATTGTTATTTTATGTTTTAAAATATATATTTTCATATAGATTAATACATTCAGTCTTGTTTTTTTGAAAAGGTAATTAATGTTCTTTTCAATTTCAAGCATTTAACATGAGTAAAGTGTGCATGAGAAGTTATTAACCATCATAGAAGAGAATGCAGAAAATGTTCGATTTACTTAAACTCAATACTCACCATGCATTTACACTTTTGCCAATTTATCAGATTTTGCATTTTAAATGTTACACAAGTGCAAACCGCCCATAGTAACACACAGTGGTGTGTGTTTGTGAACAAGTGACTCTCACGCCAGTAAAAAACAATTAAACAGCGCCACTGTGTGGTCACACTGTATAACACACAAAGAGGAAATCACATGTACGTATTTCCGGTTTCGAGCAACGTCACATGCAAAAGCAGGAAGCACTTTGTAAACATTACGCTACTTTGTAGTAACTTTAACCACATTGCTGTCATGCAAATTGACATAGCGTGTCTTCGTGATGGAGCCAGCCTGTTGCAGCTCTGCGGGAGCGTGTGTTGAAGTGAAGGAAACACCCAGACAGACAGACGTTTACTGACAGAATGATCAGAATGATGAGACACGCGCTGCACGAAGGGAGAGGAGCCCTCTGTCTGCGCAGCTTCTCGGAAACTAGAGGAGAGGTCATTGAGGATGTTCTTCAAAGGACAGACTCTGCACGCCTCACAAACGAGGCGTCTCTCTACGTGCACGTGAGCTGATTTGATCAGTGTACCTTATGCAAAGCAATGTGCACACCAATCCACTGCACATACTCACCGACCTATGTATAGAAAGTTTGCTAAACTGTCACATTCACCTCCCTCTTGAGATGTGAAGTTAGTTTTAGAATGGAGAACATTCGCTCTGGATCCATCAGCGTCTTCTTCCTCAGTTTCTGACTGTCGACAGTCAGAGGAAAGTTAGTTCACCTCCGAGCTGTGGTGTAAAGTAACTAGTAAATTGACTCAAGTACACTACTTAAGTACAATGTTGAGATACTAGTACTTTACTTGAGTATTTACATGTTTACGCTACTTTGTACTTCTGCCCCACTACAACTCATGTATTAAATACCTTTAGTTACTTTGAAGATTTGGATTAATGATTTGAATTATATTCAACACTTAAATAAAAATTAAGCTACCCTGCAGTATGCAAAGCCATTAAAACTAGCTGCACCTTTACCAGCTTTGAAAAACACATTCGTGCATCAATAAATATAATCAAAATATATGATGTATTATTCTGAAATGGGTTCATTTGCGTAATGAATACTTTTACTTGAGTAACATTTGCAATGCCGGACTTGTACTTGTAACAGAGTATTCCTAAACTCTGGTACTTCTACTTCTACTTAAGTAAGAAGTATAATCTTGTAAGTACAAGATCTGAGTACTTCTCCCAGGACAGTCAGCTCACACCCGAGCCCTCACTGTGAACTACAGAGTTTCTTATCAGGGAACTAATTCTCCTCTGACTGACAGTCTGTGAAACAAAGTAAGAAGACACTGATGGATGATCCAGAGTGAATGTCTGTTGAATTTTCCACCTAAGACTTAACTTAAACTTGTCCTTTCTCCTCTCCTCTTCCACAGTGGCCTTACTGTCTCAGAAGGTGTTCCTACTGCAACTTTAACAAATACATACCCAGACAGAACAATGATCACATGATGACCGAGTGCCTTCAGAGGGAGACTGAGACATTGCTGCAGCTCAGTCAGGTATCCTGGTATGGTGACTTGTTAAATTCCAGATTGAAATCAGCTTTGAACATGTGACTTCACCCCCCTTAACATTTAAATGTTTCCCTGCAGCATCACATCAGTGTTTTTTGGTGGTGGGACTCCAAGCCTGGCTCATCCCTCAACCATTGCTGCAGTCCTTGAAACCGTTTCCAGGCAGGCGAACCTCTCAGATACAGCTGAGGTCACACTGGAGGTCAACCCTACTCCTGTGGGAAGGTCAAAGTTAGAGGACTTCTTCCATGCAGGGGTGAACCGTTTCTCCATCGGGGTCCAGGTGAATACTCTATAAAATGCTTTTCACAGAAGATTAGATTATTTTAGCTTGTAATTGTTTGTTTTTCCTTGGGTCCAGCTATAATATCTCTGAAGTATTTACTTACTTATGCATCCAGAATACACATAATGCTAAATGTTCAGTTTTGGCGCTATGTCCATTTCATTTCTGCAGTTCATTTTTGCAAACATTTACAGAAAATTTGCCCTTTTCTTTGTTAGTTAATCATCAAAAACTGAAATACATTTAGCTTGTGTTACCTTATTTTAGTTGTCAGCTGGCAAAATAGTGTCAGCTGAATTTTGCCTGAAGGTAGCATTTTTTATTTAGTTGACCATTTCATAACAATATTCTACACTGCTTTTTTGCGTTTTACTTTCAGTTTACTGTAAGTAACCTGTTGTACATGGTCAAGTCTTTGCAGGATGAAGATTTGAAAGTCCTGGGAAGAGACCACAGCCCTCAGCAGGCTTTGCTAACTGTGGCAGAGGCCAGGAGGCTGTGTCCCGGGAGGGTGTCGGTGGACGTCATGTTTGGACGTCCCAAACAGAGCGTTGAATCCTGGGAGAATGAGTTGTCTGAGCTGTTAAGGGTGTGCGACGACCACGTGTCTCTGTACCAGCTAACATTGGAGCGAGGCACACAGCTGTTCAAACAGGTGCTGGAAGGAGAGGTGACCCTGCCCACTGAAGAGGAGACAGCAGAGATGTACCTGTGTGCCAGGAAGACCCTCCACCAGCACGGCCTCCTGCAGTACGAGGTGTCTAACTTTGCCAGACAAGTAAGTCCTCAGCAGAAAGACAGCACTCTCATTGTCCTCTGCTCCTTAGGAAACATTAAAACTTTTATTAACATAACAGGAAAGTTTGCAACGTTTAAAACACAAATAGATACAGTTAATTAAATCGACTCCAAGAGTAAACAAATTACAGCAATGGTCCTTGTAAAGGCAGCACTATGACAAAACAAATTGCTCCTATGACTACTTATTTAAATGTAGCTAAGGTGATATGGTTCTGTGCTGATATTTTTTATTTAGCTAAAACCAAAACAAATTTAAAGGGTATTTTTATTTATTTTCATTGTTGGAGATTCCTCTATGTAGTTGCACATTATGATATATCATTTTAAATGTGTGTTTGCTGAACTGTCAATATTTTTCTTTTAGATTTCTGACAAATCAGTCATGTGTAATTCAAATGTACATTTTATTAAAAAAAGAATTAATAAACCACAAGGAAAATACCTTTAAATACAAAAAATTATTAGGTAAAGAGTTCAAAAAGACATTGCTTCAGAATAAATGATTATAATTCGGAGAGATCCGCCTGACTAATAGTCCAGTTTCTGTTTGTTCCTAATGAAATGTCTCAAGCATCACTCCATCAACAGGGCAGATGTCTGTTCTGTTTTGCGCCATATTGCCTCGTGTCTGAGAGAAACAGTCACAATAACACAATAACACTTCACTTTGTGTTACGTAGAACGCAGTGAGTCATCACAACAGGAGCTACTGGAAGGGAACGCAGTACATCGGGGTCGGCCCAGGTGAGCTACTACCTAGAATAAAGGCAGTGCAATAGAGAATATTGTACTGGTTGAAAAGTTCAAATTGTTGTCTTTGGCAGGAGCTCACGGACGGTTTGTCCCTGTGGGGGAGGGAGGGGTCCTCCGCGAGGCCCGAACCCAGACTCTGGAGCCTGACATCTGGATGCGTGAGGTCCAGCAGAAGGGACATGCGACACGGAGGAGGATTCAACTCAGCCATCTTGAACTGTAAGCTTCACGACCTATAGTGTTGTGTTTGGTGATGAGTGTAATTGGTTAGTAAATGAAAGTGGGGCTGTCATGTCCATGTGAAATGTTACAACCCCAGTGTGAGAAACATGGTGTTATTTTACATGTTCTTGCTCTTTCAGATATTCTGTCCTCGTGAAACTCTATTATCCAATTGTTTACTCACTCCGTCCTAACAACTGTCAAGGCGACTGTGAGAATCTGTTCTCAAAGATTTCTCTCTGGCAGATTGGAGGAGGTGTTGGTGATGGGAATGAGAATGACG